CGTTTACCGATCTATATACCACCGTTTACCGATCTATATACCACCGTTTACCGATCTATATACACATAAAAACTTTTATGTGTTATAACGTAATAAAATATACAGGTGGTTTATGAGTGATCTAATTGTAAAAGATAATGCCCTGATGAACGCTAGTTATAACTTGGCATTGGTAGAACAACGTTTGATTCTTTTAGCTATCGTTGAAGCTAGAGAATCAGGTAAAGGAATTAATTCAAATGACCCTCTAACAGTTCATGCCGAAAGCTATATAAATCAATTTCGAGTAGAAAGGCACACTGCATATCAAGCTCTCAAAGATGCTTGTAAAGATCTATTTGCAAGGCAGTTTAGTTACCAACAACGAAGTGCTAAAGGGAATATTACAAATATGACAAGCCGTTGGGTTAGTCAAATTGGATATACAGAAAATGAAGCTACGGTACAGCTAGTTTTTGCTCCTGCTGTCGTCCCATTAATCACAAGACTTGAGGAACAATTCACAAAATATGATATTGAGCAGATCAGTAGCTTATCGAGTGCTTATGCTGTCCGGATGTATGAACTACTGATTTGTTGGCGCAGCACAGGGAAAACGCCCATTATAGAACTATCAGAGTTCAGAAAGCGTATAGGTGTTTTAAATACCGAATACAAGCGAATGGATATATTTAAACGAGGTGTTTTAGAGTTAGCAATTAAACAAATTAACGAGCATACAGACATTACAGCGAGCTATGAACAACATAAAAAAGGGAAAGTAATTACTGGGTTCTCGTTCAAGTTTAAGCAGAAGAAACAGAACAACGATAAAACGCCAAAAAAAGGCGATTCTAGCCCTCATACTGAAAAACCTAGCCCAATTCCTACAAACTTCGTAAAACAGCCTGAAAATGCAAATATGAGCGATTTAGAGCATCGAGCAAGCAAGATTACAGGGTTAATCATGTCAAATGGGCTAACAGCTCGATTTAAGCAAGGTGATGAATCATCAATAGACATGATGAAACGAATTAAACAAGAAATCACAACTGATGAGATCGCAGACCAATGGCAAAGCAAACTTGAAGAATTTGGCGTGGTTTTTGATTAATATTTAATAACGTCCTATCCAGTCCAGCTAGCTTTATTTTAATAAAAAATAGATTAATTAATGTAAATTATTACACTTTTTTTTGTATTTTAGATATATATTTAACACTTTATACTTATAGCTTGGAATTAGATAATGAAGACGGTTTTATTTAGTTTACTGTTAATACTTACTGCAACATCATCTTATGCAGACCACCAACTGCGTATTAAAACAGATGGTTCTGCTACAAAATCTTTGTATATTGTAGGTAAAGACCAATTAGGAAATTTGAATAATGGGAAATGTTTTGAGAATTTAAATCTAAAACCAGGTTGGTTTCAAACACCTTATATATTACAAGATGGTAGTATTTACTCTGTACTAGGTTTTTCATCACCAAATTGTACAGCTGGATTAAGAAAAACTATCAGAGATAGAGTTCCTAGCAATGATGGTCTTAAATACCTTTGGGTTCCATTATTCTAATAAAAAAGACCAAGAGAACTTATTATCTCTTGGTCTTTTTTATTTTCAAAAACTTAGTCATGACTAAGTTTTCAAGTATTAATCTGTAAATACATGGGTGACAAATTAAGAAATTTAACGGTTATTGCCTATCCTGCCATAGAAATATTTGAGGGATGTTTTTGCTTTTGATCTTAGTTTTAAAAATATAGTTCTTAGACAAAATTAACAAAGCTCACGGAGTGTGAGCGACCCAAAAAAAGTTCGATCATCCCCCTCCTTGATTACCGCTTTTTAAGCATTAAAAATCATGTAAATTTTTACTATCATGAGCTTTTGTTTTTGAAAAGACACGAGCGTAGCGAAGTGCCATTTTTGCTTTTGATCTTGGGGTTTGGGTCTCCCAACAAGCCCCCGTGCAACAAACATCAAAATTGCGTAGCAATGAATGATTTTGTAGCTACAGGGTAGGCTTGCTTATTTAAACTTTTATCTGATTTTGCTCTTTTAAACTTTTGCTTACCTATCCGCCATCTGCTAAAAATTGCCCCTTCCTGAGCATAGCGAAGGCAAAAAGTTTGAGTGAAACGAAAACATAGGGCAATTTTCATAAAGAAAATGGGCTTTTAAAGCTTTTAAATGCTTTTAAATGCTTTTAGCCACCCTGAAAGCACCGCCAATAAAGGGCTGTAGAGGACATATACCACCGTTTACCGATCTATATACCACCGTTTACCGATCTATATACCACCGTTTACCGA